GAAAGGTAAACATTAATACATATATCGGTCTATCAGAAGTTGTTGCACTGCATATTTAATTATGCATTGAAAAACGTATATTCTCTTGTTAACTCTATTTTTTTTCTAAAAACTCTTGTCAAACAATATTCTTGGATACTAGAGATGTAAGTATGCTAAATATATCTGTTAAATATTATTAAAATTATGATATTACCCACGATAAATTTTAATTTCATAGCCTGCTGGTTAACATTTTTTATGATTCATTTTATGAATAATCCGCAAACGCAACTATATGGTTTTGCGGTGGGTATTCTAATGCCTTAATCATCACGCTGCCGGTCTTCGGCCTTCCTTTTGCCCCTTTTTTATCATTAGGATGGAAGGAACACGCCAATTTATCAAGTTATTTTTACACCAGGCAGCGGCCTTACCTCTTATCGTTTCCTAGACCGCTACTTAAGTTTACCGTAGTACGATAGTTATTATTATCGGAAATTGAAGAATGTATTATTTATTTATTTTTCTTTATTGGTTTGGGAATAAGGAACTAAATCTTGTGCCAAAAGGAACGGTCAAGGGTTATTTTGATGAAATTAGTTTCGTCTAACCAAAAATCTCCCAGTGACAAAAGCAAGCAAATAAAAAATACACAAAAGTTCTGATGTTTTCAAAATCAATTTCATGTTCGTGTTTCAAGTTTTGTCTTAAATTGGTTTTGACAGTTTACATTTGTTTGTTTCCATAGCTAGAGTTATCCTATAGTGTTTTATAGAGATCGCACTTTTAGTAGGACGATGATAGAACAAGAAAATCCATCTAAACTATGAAAATTTGAAATATAAGGGTTTCATTAACTTTTAAAAGATCATGGAAAATATGGTAACTATTATAGAAAATTCTTGTAGCCAACAATGATCTAAGATAAGATAATATAAAACGCAGCTTTAATAAAATTTTGGCCAAATTTCATTGAATTATATAACTAAGTCGTTGCGTAATGGATCTTTGGCAATAAATTTAGGTAATAATTCACCTGTTTAATTTTGATAACCAAAAGATGTGAAATCCAAATATTTATATTGAGGAAAAATGGAACTTTTCCATATGTACGTTTGTAAAAAAGTTCATAGCTCTTTAAACAATTAAAAACCAAGACTTTAGAATAATGCGAGTCCCACTCTTCAGCATCTTGTAGAGGGATGTTTAAACTTTAATTTAGGCACCTGGCAACATTAAAACTAACAATTTTTAACCCGGAAATCGGCCGTTGAAAATCGTCATTTTCGCATTTTTAGCAACTTAAATTGTACATAACTTTTTTGTTTATAATGTGCCAAAAAAACCTAATGTGAAAAAAACAATTTTTACAATTTGTTTAAAAAAAGTTTGTTTAAACAAATGGGCACCAGATCTCTGGCCGGCATCATCTTGATTCATGTTAAGGAACATCTCACGAATCTGAATATGCAAAAAAATCGAGTCGGTAAATTTCTCCCACGAATGCAAGGTTTTCGCCTCGTCAAAAAATAAAATCACTTTTAACAAATACAATATTTTTTGTAAAACTGTTACTAAAAAAATGCTTTTGACGCAGAAGATTTATTTCAGCATTTTTTTTCACAGTTGGCAATTATCCAAACAAGAAAAAAACTGAATATATTATTTATATTTCACTGTCGTTAATAATATGCAATGAATATTAATGAATCCATCTGATTTTGCCAAGGGATCGCCGTTTCTGCCCTTGATCTTGATACCTACGAGGAGGTGAACAGCTTACGCGTCGACACGTTCCCAGCCGTCATTTACAGCTAACCATTAACGCAAAGTAGATCAGTGTCGCTGCATTATACCGTAAAAAGAAGATAAGGTTGCACAAATTGTTTAATGACCTTTTCTTGTCGCATCTACCGAACCGAGAGGACACAATGAACTCGTTGAGCAATTTCTGTGTTTGTTAAAGTATTTATTTCATCAGTATGCATTCAAAAACATATGGAAAACTCCTCTGGCATATTATCACAACAACTACAGACATAAAGGGAAGAGCGGCATGTCCTTATGAGGAATCTTTATGCCAGGAATCAATTAGAACCTACATTTTTGATTTTTTGCATTTTAAAACTTGTCTTTGTCCTTCTAATTCCTTGTAATTGGAATCTGAAACAATGAAAATTCATAGATTTTTTAATTTTATCTAGTATGTAGGTATTTTTTTATATTTCTTTTCTCACTAAAATTAATGGATTTCTTTGTAACATATTGTGGGGTATAAAATATGTAAACTTAAGTTACTTCATGTGTCAAGAACACTTTTGTACAGTTTTCTAACGATTTTGAAATGTATGCGGTTGAATCAAAGTGTCCTCCATCAAAACCCTTGACACATATCCATTTTCGAGTTGGCCAATCACGCAACGTGTATTATTTCTAACCGGTGATTAAGGTTTATCACTTGTCATTTCCCTCTGGTAATATATAATTGAAAAGTGAAAGTTGTAGTCGCCCAACAAATTATTGGTGTTTCAGTATCAGTGTTACTACTTTATAGGGTGATAAGATTGTGGATTACTAATTCTGTGGTTTCTTTGCAAGCGTTTTCCTGGGTAGTATCCAAATATACTTTCTCGTGATAAAAACTAAGTTAATTTGCATACTTTACCTTCCCTGAATATGTGGATGGTAACGATTTATATTATTAAATTAACAGGTAAAAAAATTCTGATAAGCCAAAGTTTATCCCCAGGTATTAATAGAATATTGCTCCTGACGTCATTTAGTTTTGGATTCGAGTTACAAGAAACTGGAACAAGTGGAAGATAAAGAAAAATCTTTTTTTTTAATATGGCGAAAAACTAAAGAGCGATTAATTGGCTGAAGACAACTGTGAAAGGTACCTTCTTAGAAATGGTTTCGGAAAAAGTGTTGTTCTTGTTTTTTTTTTGGCATTGTTGTACAGACATTGCTGTATCGGTTGAAAATTGTACCGACAAAGCTTACACAATATTTGTTTTGTCAATAAAAAATAGCACATGGAGGCAGCCATCTCTCTGAAGTAATAAAGACCATCAGTTGGTAAACATGATAATGAGGGGATGCTAAAGCTTTGATTTTTTTTATACTATTCGATTGATTATTTAAAATAATGAAAAGTTGCCTTTGAATTTTTTTTTCGTTTGTGTTTTAGACAGAATTTATTTACATTTTTATATTTTGAATTTTATTTAGCTCCTACGACACTGCCAGGACAAAGATAAAAAATCACGTTCGCTCTGTCGCACTCATAGTACCGAAGTTGTGGACAACTCGTATGCTTATGACAAAGATAGATTATTTCGTTCGCTATTGTCAATGCGCGTGCGTCAGTAAACATGTCTTTCTTTAAATTATTGTATGCTCAATATCCATTGTTAATCTAGCCTAAAACGGATTTAAACCGATGCAAACTAACCCTCATGTTCACCTCCGGATGGTGGTTGGACATATTATTAGACTGTTTGGTTTTTTCATTGTTTATAAAATGATGTCAAAATAAGTAAATGCTTCCTTTCTGATAGATGTAAAATTGAAAAAAATCCTGTTTTTCTAAATATTTCGAAAACGATTTAAGATATTACACTGAGGTTTGGTGTATAGTACAGTGGCAGTGTAATATCTTAAATCGTTTTCGAGATATTTAGAAAAAAAAACGGATTTTAAATTTCTTTCGACATCTACCTCAGAAAGGAAACATTTCCGGACCCATAATGTCATGAACTTATTTACTTATTTTCGCTTCCAGAACACGTCCTTAAAATATTTCCGTTTCCTCCCGAAACTGTATAAGTTATAATGAAACTGTAGTTTACAATATTTTTTTATTTTGTTGCCTTCATGACCTACCTATCTACTTTCTGCAGAATATGACACAAATTCTTATTTCAAAATATTAATTTTCTCAGGGACAAAAAAAATAATGTGGCAAGACAAAATAATTTCAAAACCTGTATACTCTTCTCTTTTTATAATGCANATTTTTTTTTACGTTGGTTTCTTAGACAGCTACAAATTTATTTACCTTTTTATCTTTTGAATTTTATTTAACTCCTACGACAAGATAGATTATTTCATTCTTTATTGTCAATGCGCGTGCGTCAGTAAACATGTGTTTCTTTAAATTATTGTATGCTCAATATCCATTGTTAATCTAGCTTAAAACGGATTTAAACGGATGCAAACTAACCCTCATGTTCACTAGTTTATATTACTAGTCCACCGGCTCACCCCTTTAAAACTAGTATGCCTTTTAGGTTGGAAACCTTTATCTTGCGTCGAGTGTACATCCCTATGTTTAAATTTATTAAAATCTCAACAAAACTTCCTGGCCTGAACCCGCTTAAAATGGGAATAAAATGGTAAAATAAGTCGACAAATATACTCCGGTTTAATCTACAGTATACTGTTGATTCAAGGTCAGGCGTGAGTTTTGTTTAGGAATAATTATTCCTTAAGGTTTATATAAAATATTAACAAAAGTTGACCTGCTTTCGAATATTTACTACTAAGAACTTCTGTAATACTTTGGCAAAAATTAGAAAAAAATTCATTAAATCTGGTATGGATCACTATAACTTACCGATTTCTGCTCCGATTTTTTAACTAGGATTCTATAAATTTCGTCAGAGGTCGCCACAATCTTCGTGTTTGCAACCTGTTCAGTTATTACCATAAAATGGAATAACGTGGCAAAAATAATGATAATTTTAAACAATGTAAAATGAATTTGCCTTGTTGCGCCATCTATTAATAGGAAGTTCAACTAAACTTGCAAACCACCGTCCTCCTTTTACTCAGTAATAGAGATACAGAGGGAAATTATTTAAATGAGAAGTTTTCCGTAATAACATGTCCATAGTCTAGTTGAAGAATATACGGGTCCTATATTTTTAACTTATTTTCATTTTGCGACGCAGTTAAAAAAATTGAAAGCAACCCATTGTTCGGCAGTACCTTTTTTAATGACTGTTTTCTTGCAGGAGCTGATAATGTCGAAGAGCAAGAGGAAAAAGCGAGCGTGGATCATCACTGGGGTGATAGTAGCTATAATCGTAGCGTTAGCCATAGCCGCCATTGTTCTCCTGGTCACCGGAGGAGGTGAAGGCGACAATGGCGACACTCCGGCGCAGGAATCCTTGAACCTGGAGGACTACCTCAGCGGAAAATTCGTACCCAACACCTTCAACGCCACTTGGACATCGGGTAAGACAGCTTTTTGGTCTCCGTTGAAATTTAACTTTTGTGGATGTCCTTTTATTGAGATAACATGAAATACGCACTATAAACAAAAATGTTTGAAGGTTTATCCATTCTGCAAATTCTCCCTCACTGTCAGTAATCACAGAGTACACTTTCTGTTTCAAGTCCCTTACAAATGAAAAAATCACAGGGATTTAGGTCAGGTGAACGTTGTGGCCAGTTAATTGGAGCATCGTGTTCCTGTCATACATAAAATAGATGTGATTGCTTAGATCAATAGAAAGATAATTTAACAATTCCGGCAGAGTATTTTGCAGCTTTCAATAACAGTTACTATCGGGACGATTTGGTAACCTAATAGGACCAAGGAGAAAGTTACTAATAAAACCAGTCCACACGATTATGCTAAATTTACGCTTTTTTCTATAACGACATGGGGATTTTCATTTGCGTAAACATGCTGGTTATGTAGATTTATTATTCCACGTTTCATAAAACGTGTTTGAAAAGATCTTTTTTGTGGAATTTCACATCTCCAGTTCTGTATTGGCGAATAATCTACTACTACAAGAATTGAAAACGAAGGATAAGATCAAGAGGTAGAAGTTGTCGAACTGGATGAACATGAAAAGGATGAATTAGTTGATTGGGACTTTAAATTTTATTTAAACCTTCATGTGTAAATTTTTTTAAATCTGAAACGTAATGTTTTAGAGACCATCAGTTGCTGCAGCTGCATGCAGCTTTATTAAAGAGTTGCTTATTTTCGTACCCTCTATCTATCGAAACGCACTTATTTCAGAAACACCCTGTATTAATTGGTTGCCGAGTTCTGTTTCACTATTTTCATAATTTCTTCTTCCACAGTGGGTGTTCGATATTGGCAAGGACGTCCGGCATAACCTCTGTTAATTTTAATCTTGCCAATAATAAAATTTTTACTCGAAAAAATTCGTATCCGCGAGATTATTGTAAAATTGTCTAAAGGAACATAATACAAGACATATCTCATCTCGTGCAGTGAAAAACATCAATATTAGCGAAAAGTGACTCACAACAACTTGTAGGGAATAAAATTATCTACAAAATAAGACTTGTTAAATTAAAATCAGTTAATAAACAAAAGAGTTATTGCAAAAAAAAAACAAGAAAAGTTCCCATTTATTAATTTGTTTATAACTATGGCATTTATTGTTAAAATTTTATAAAACCTAAATAATTTGTGAATTTTTACTTTAATTTTACATTCAAATCGTAATTAAATACCTAACAAAATATTGAAAAAATAAGTTTACTATAGCATAATATGTAAAAAAATAACTTTTTAAATGAACTATAGCTTCATTTATTTATTTAATAGTAGTAAAATAATTCCAAAATTGAAATTTTAATTAATATTTCGTTTAACAATAATTTTCGTGACATTTTTGTAAATTAAAAAAAATTAAGTATAAAAGATGCATTTTTCTAGGGTTCATGGCTATTCTAAGAATTCGTAAATATGCTCATTGTTATTTTTTCGTCGAGCTACCCCAGTTTAAAAAAATAAAGCAGTTTCTACGATGAATAGAAGCCGAGATATTGCAAAATTTACAGCGCGCATCAATTTGAACTTGCGCTACGATTTAAAAAAAAATCTTAGCTTGACTCCTGTTGGTCGTAGACGTAGAGGGTACTTTTTGTTTTTAAATTTGTACTTTTTTGCCAGCTATCCATTGAATCTATTTTCGGTGAGGTAGCATAAATAGCAACAATTTTATTCAAATTGTTTATAAGCGAAAAACGCACGGTTTTTTAATACACAATTTGAGAATGTTAATATTAAAAAAAACGGTGATATTTTTTAACAGGTCGCTTAATTACGTCTTTACAATGACGCTTTCAGTCATGTTTGGTTGAAAATTAACAGCTGTACAGAGGCTTATTCATAACTTTTGGAGCCTACGACAAAACCCTCAACTTGTTATAGGTTTTATAAAATTTTAACAATAAATGCGATAGTTATAAACAAATTAAAAAATGGGCACTTTCTTGTTTTTTTGCAATAACTTTTTTGTTTATTAACCGATTTTAATTTAACAAGTCTCATTTTGCAGATAATTTTACTCCCTACAAACTGTCTGTGAGTAACTTTTCGCTAAAATTGATGGTTTTCCCTGCAAAGTGAAAAAACTGTTTTCCTCATTTGTTTAAATAGAAAAGTTAGCTATTAAAAGTTTTTAACTCACGAGATAAGAGATGTCTTGTATTAGGTCTGTTCCAACAAGAGTCAGGGATTGGTTCCCAACCGTTCGAAATGTTTGGCCAGCTAAATTCTAAATGTGTCTTCAGTGAATATATCGCAAGAATTAGTTGGATGCACATATCTGACGGTTTGGAACCAATCCCTGACTCTTTTTGGAACAGACCTATTATGTTTCTTTATACAATTTTACAATAATATCGCGGATAGGAATTTTTTCGAGTTTCTCTTTTTTTTTCGCTAATTTTCCTGGTCTAATATGGGTGTTTAAATAAAATTGATCATCTTATGAGTCGATAGACTAGCCTTCTAATCTGGCTTATGTCAGAGCTCGAACTTCCCATAATTGTATCTCGCAAAAAACTATTTATTACAGTTAGGACAATTAACCGAATAAAGTTCCAATTCGTCGTGGTCTCGAACGCTGTAAATCACCAAATTAAACAATTATTATATCATCCGGGCGCAAAAACGTCTCTTTGTTGGCAAAATTTAATTTCCCTGTTGCGGGATTTCGGCGACCGCGGCATCCAATTTAAGGTTTAATCATAATAATCATCGCTTTCTGGTGGAAAAATGTTGTGTAAGAAACCGCGTAATCACGTCCTGGGTTTTATTGTGGGGAATGATGCGTGTGTATTACAATGACGATTACGAACGGCGCTACCTCTAATCTAGATTCAGGGATAGAATTGGCGATCGCCGATAGTATTGTGGGCAGTGGTCATTAGGTGAAACGAGGTAACCGATATAAGATTGCACCAGTGCCAGTGGTAGCTCTATGAGAATTAGTGGTGGCCCGTTATTTTTGTATAGTTGATGTCTTACAAAAATGCAATTCAAAAGACTGACAGACATAAAATATTTAATCTTCTTCATTTATTTTACTAAAAAAAAAACATTTTTAAACAGAAAAACTTTATCTTTTTTAATTCATTCTGTTTGATCTTTGATTTCTTTTTCGGACCTCATCGCCCCCCTCTTGAATCCGCGCCTGAACAAAACAGTATTATCAGTGACGTACTAGCATTAATTTATCATAAATATAAAGACTACTACTTCCAGTGGCGGAGAAAATTTACAATCATTTACCTTCTGAAATAACAGACTCACTTACACAGGTGTTTTTAAGAGTAGGTAAATTAAAATTTTTTATTGGATCGGTCTTTGTATAGTCTAGATGAGTTCTTTGCTGTAGATTACACCGGTACTGACAAATGGCTAACATTTTTCTTGGTTGTAATATGTTAGTTTGTTCTTATTTATGTTTTATGTTTTATGATGTGTATTGTTGTATTTATTCCTGTGTATTATTATTTTTTTTTCTTCTGTTTTTTATATGACTATTTCTATATATATATAAATGAATTTGAATTTGAATTTGAATTTGAGATACAGGGTATCGGTGGCATACTTTTCTAAATAAAATAATACGCCACTGCTTTCAATTTTCTACAAATTACTACTCTCATTTGTTTTCTAAAAAAAGACTGATTTTCGAGTAAAACGAACTGAAAACACTTTTACTTAAATAACATGACAAACACTAATCATTCGGTTATTTATTCGAATAAAAAAATTAATAACATTAGTCATCATTTTCATGATTTTATTTGAGTAAATGCTCAAAAATGCCTCCATTTCCACAACACAGGCGCGACATCTTTTTAGTAACAAAAATGTAATTTGTTCGAAATTTATTGTTGCTTGAATCTGATAAAAAACATTATTTATTCTTTCTTCTAACTGCTCAGAATATCAAAGTTGCTATCGTAGCCTACTATGTAAGTTTAAACCAAATTTTATTCGAAAATTGAAGTGTGTTTTCAATTCGTTTTTTAAGAAAATATCATGATTGTTACCATAAAGCAGAGTGGCGTACTATTTTATTTAGAAGAATATGCCACCGATACCCTGTATCTCCGCCACTGGAGCATCTAAATTTTCGGAAAAGTCCTCAGATTTTGGACAATGTTTACATAAATATATGTGCCCAATTTCAAATTATTTCAAATACTAGTTTCTAAATTATTTGAAAAAATCAAAAATATTTTTTTAAGTGTAACACCCTGTATCTCTTTAACAAAGCGTCCTAGATAAAAACTTTAGACGAAAGGCCAATTCACCAAAGAATACGAGGTTTCATTTTTAGTCACCGTTTGTGAATCACCCTGTATAGTAAAATGACATTTCATATGGTAAAGTGCCACTTTAGTTAACGATTTTAAATTTAGTAAAGCAACTTATTATTAGTCAAAACGCGAAAAAAATATTATTAATATGTATTTTTCATCTTAATTTTTCTTCATGCAACAATTATTTGAAATAATACTTCTTCAGGCCAGCATCAGTTCTCTCAAAAGATTTCCAGTACTCCCAGTACTCGAAAAACTTAATCGTCAAATATCTTTTACTAGCATGCGAAAATTTCTATGCCGTTTCACTTTCGATTATATTCGTTGAAATACTGAAACCGAATAAATATTTTCTGATGTGGACAAACTACTTTATTTACGGCCATGGAAAAATGTTTCATTTCATTAGAGTTTGTTTTTGTATAGCGCATTTATATATTTAAAAACATTTATTTATATGTAAGCACTGTGTGGAGATCTGTAATGAGCATAAATAAATGAAATCAGCTTATTACAATTTTTATGTTTTCGTAGTAAAACAATTAAAACAATTAAACAGTTGGTTAGACAGGATTATTATAAAAAAAGTGTTTCTTTTCTTTGAGAGTTGTGCTTTTAGAACATAA